CTGCTGAGGGCAGGCCTGTACTTTGATCATGTTGACTGGTTAAGACCAGACCCAGAAGGTAACCAAGTCTGGCTGGTGACCAGCTGGCTGGGAATTGAGAAAGAGTGAAGGGTACAGGGAGAGAGCCAGCAGAGCAGGTGCACAAAGAGGCCAGCATGGGAACAGTGTGGAAAGGGAGGGCGGAATGGATACATCCAGGACATCTAGGCATTCTATCTGTCTGGGAGCCCTGGAAAACCAGCAATATGGAGGCAATATGGAATGGACCTAGAAAAAATACAATTCCAGAGGGAGCCTGGTATTTAAACAGCCACCCCCCACCAACCCTGCTGCCTCACATCCCCATCACATCCTCGGATGCCAACTGGTTTCCTCCCGCAGCTTTGGAGAGCAAGCCAGGTCATAATGGAACCATGAGACAGAAATTAGCGAATTCCTTGAGTTTAAAAAGCAGGCTGATCTGGGAAAAAGATGGAATTTGGTTGCAGGCTCACAGAACCAGTTTCCCTAAATTCCCAGACCAGATTAAAGAGTCCTTGGGCTAGAGAAGGAGGAAAAGAAATATGGACAGGAACTGGGGTACAGGAAAGCCCCCATGCTTGGGATCCAGCCCTGGACACCATCGGTCTAGAGATCAATGGCCCTCACTTCCACTCCCAGAGAACCCTGGCTTGACCCCCACCACAAAAATCTAGCCTCTAATTCTGAAATGCTCCAGCCCGTATAGAGCCCACCTCATGTGAACACACATGAGCTTCTAAAATCAGCACTGGATATAGGAGTGCAGTGAAGACCGAGATGTAGACAAAGGAGTCCCTACCACTGGACAGATTGGGTCTGAGGCAGATGACCAGGGACCTCTCAGTGGCTCATGCATTCTTTTGCTGCCTTGGGAAGCCTGGTGTGGCCCCAGTGGAGGCTACCCTAATGCTCCACAGAGGAGGAAGTCCCTTCTGCATGCACAGCGTTGACACCCGAGTTTCCGGTGGGGCTTCTCCAAGCATACCCACGTTTTAGAACACAAAGATGGACATCAGAAACATTCTCGTTCCTAATTCTTTCCTGGCTGGTCCATGGATGGGTCTGAGCTCTTGGATCAGTTAAGGAGCCCATCTCCCAGCCAGATTCACTTAGCAGGAATTTGCCTTCATAAGGGCTATACATTCATTTTTAGGACTGCGATCTGTTAGGTCCCCCAATAATGGGTCCATGATTAAAGGAGCGAGACTGATATAAAGCGAAGGTCAAGCAAAGCTTTATTTCGCGACAAGCATCAAGAATCAAACTGACTGACCAGGGCCACGCCTCTTATAGAGAGTGGTGACCCTTCTCTGTTTCACAGACTAGCTTCTAAGGGCAAAGGCCATGCGGTCGGGCCTGGCCACGCACAGGCAGCCAATGAAATTGTAACACACAGAAAAAGCTGCACAGTGATGCTAGGTGACCAATTGAATTACAATTTACCCTATAGTAGACATTTGACTTAGCCTATCACCTTGGTTAGAATTGGTGCCCAACAGTCTCCCAAAGGGCGGGGGCCCATACTCCTTGGTAGCTAGGGAGACAGTATGCAACCCCCCACTGATCAGATGTTTCCACCTGGCCTGACCCACCCTTGTATCTGGGCTTTGTTACCTGGAGCTGGTTTCCAGGACTTGTTTTTAAGTAAATCCCCTAGAGGAAGGGAAGCAGGGACAGTTTAAGGGTTAAACAACAAGGTTATTGTTTAACCTTAATGGAAGCCTTTTGCTAAATAGGTCCTTACATGATCCTTTATACCACCTCTCACACACACATAGAAATATGTCTACCAGAAGAGGGGAATTACATTAAAAATGTGAAAAGAAGACTTGAAGCTTAGGAAGAATATTTTTGAATGCTGACAAGGTACACAGAGGGTATTAATTTCTGCAATGGAAATTGACTTACTAAGGACAAGCCCATTTTGAGAAAGAATTTCAAATATTGATTATTTAAAGCTTCTTTTACTAGATGAGAAAAGCTTTTACTAGCTTGTCTTATAATCTCAAAGATTCAACTATCTACCGGGGGGATGATTAACAAATTTCACAAGATATTCCTAAATCACAAAATTATTCACAGGCCTCTCTCTCTATTTAGGGCAGCCTCCATGGGCTTATAAGGTGCAAATTTCCTCACATACAGAGGATACTGCTTTAGTGTCTCAACATTATAACAGATGGGCTATCAAGCAGGTTCTAAGACCAGTGTGCTTTCTTGGGGATAGTCACTGTTGATACAGTTATACCAATGATGACTTTCCACACTAGCAAAGAATCCATCCATGAAGAACAGTCAGAAGGAACAGAAGTATTTTTTAGGGCAATCTCGGGATTTAGGGTTTTTGAAATCCACAAAACCAGACAGATTCAAGGGAAAATGAAAGCTGCAGCCTTCGGAAAGTTAAACCAGAAATGGCTCTTTGATTTCCATGAAGCTCACAAAAGAGAGGATAGCATTTCTGTGAAAATCAAAGAAAAAGAGAAGCAAGTTGTGAAGTGAAGATTTAAAAGACTGTTTTGGAGTGTCTTCAGAAGCACCCATGTCCACAGACCAGGAATCGACCAGGGCTGAAGACTATGAGCTCTATGGAGACGCATGTGAAAAGCAAACCCATGTGGCCCAACTGGAATGGGGAATTTGGAGTTTGAGTGCAAATGAAAAGTTTAGTCAGGTTTTGGAGTAAGATCTGAAAGGACTGGGTTCTCCGGTCTAGATCCACCATGACCATCAGTGAATCCCAATGAAAGGACAGCCTCAGACCCTCTCCCTGGGGCAGGCTGGGGTGACAGGACACAAGTCTGGAGCCTTCGCCTCACTGGATGGGCAGACCCTGCTCTTCGGGGGCCCAGAGGCAGCTAGATGACATTCAGTCCCTTACACCTCCTCTTGATGCTCATGAACACCCATGCCTGGGGTGTTCTTAGGGTATTTAGACTCTGGGACCCCTGCCCAAATGGCCCTGAGCCTTTCTCTGTGGCCTGCCTGGGTCTTCATCACCTGACTAGAGCATAGACCATGCTGGGTCATCTCTGGCCATGCCTGACCCTACTCCCTAGGCAAGGAGGGATGGCAAGGTCAAGAATCTGCTTCCCCCTACTTCCAACTCAGCAGCTGAATCACCTCATGGTGCCTACAAGGTGATCCCCGCCCCCCACCTTCCCTGTCTTTAGTTTCTGTTCATTCCCGATGCCCTGCGCTTTCAAGTCTCTACATCTTTGATCATAGGCTTCCCTTTCCTTCCTAGAGTTCCTTTTCTCCCTTCTTTGGAAAATGCCAACCTACTCCAGTCCAACTGCAGTGACTGGGTCTCCTCGGCCTGGAGACAGGGGAGCCTCATTGGTGCCAAGGGTGGCAGCTGGAATCCATATTAATTGCTCTGTGTGTGTGACTCTCCTGAAGGGCAGGAAGGATGGCAAAGAGTCTACTTTATATGGTGTTTTCAGACAATGTCTTTGCTAAAAAAAGATTTCTTGTGCCTTTTCTTCAAGAGGAGAGTTCTGGGCAGTTGGGGCAAGTAGGGAAAGCTCTGAAGAGTTGATTGCTTTCACCACAAGGGGAGTCAATCTGGGAGCAGCTTTGGGTCCAGGAAGGCTAAACATCTTGTCAGAAGCCACAGGCAGAATAAGGACAGCGGACCTGGGCTCCACACCCATGCCCCCGGTGTGGCCTGAAAAGGAAGGTGTTTGTCCCTTGCCCTTGAGTTGTGGTGGGTTTGTGACAATAATGCAATCTTGTGGAAATGATGCGTGTGACTTCCAAGGCCAGAGCGTTACAGGCCACGGGGCTTCCTCCTTGTTCACCTAATGTCCCTCTCCAAGTACTGGAGTGCCACAGGGAGCCATGACGGAGAGGCCACATGGAGGCGCTCTGGCCAACAGTCCCAGACAAGCTGGTGATTTGGTCACTGCAGCCCGGACACCAGGCTCGAGGGCAGAGAAACCCTCTTGGGAGGGGGGTTCTCCAGCACCAAGGGCTCTAGCCCAGCTGCTGGGGTCACTGTCAGCCATCTGGATTGTCCCCTCGCAGGCCCAGGTCCGGTGGCACAGCATTCCCTCCGTGCCCCTTCTAAACTCCTGACTCACAGACCCAGTGAGTAACGGAGAGTGGTCATTGGGTATGTCACAGAATTTGGAGAATTTGTTTTACAGCAATAAATAACCAAAATGGAATTAAGAGAATTTCGGGGAAGAGTGAATACCATAGAGACGGGAAAGCACAGTGGCGTACCTAATCGAGGATTTGGCCCTGGGTCTTTCTGATTCTGCAGCCACTCCTTAGATATATTTTCACATACACACCCTCCCCACGATCTCCAAACAGGGGCAAAGAAAAGTGAGGACCTTCCATGCCCTGGGTCTGCCGAGGAAGCTCTAGGGCAATGGTGGACATTAGGAATGAGAACAAACGTTTATTGCTTGCCTACTCTAGGTCAGATGCCATGTCAGCGACGTGACACATAATCTGTTAATTTCACAAATACTTTGTCACTACCGCGTGCCAGAAATGGGTCTGGGAAAGAAGCCATGTGCAAGACCATGCCCCAGTTCCCCTGGGCTTGCATGTGAGTGAGGCTGATGGACAGGAAACAAATAATGATAGCATAATATGTCAGATAGTGATCAGTGATATGGAGAAAAACAAAGCCCAGGATGGGGAAAGATGACGGCATTCTAGAGAGGCTGGTTAGTAAAGGGTTCCCCAAGAGGGTGGCACTGGAGGAGAGAGAGCAAGGTTAAATAGTAGACAGCAAATCTTGCTGACCTGGGAACCCATGGTTTAGACTCTGTTATCAAGGAAAGAATACATTGTTATCTTCCAGCTTATGAGCCTGCAGCCTCCTACACAAGGTACATATGGAGACTGCCCTCCACGGGGTTCAGAGGACCCACGCCAAGGGTTCATCTCACTATGCCCACCCACCACTGGCCTGGTCTCCCCTCCATACCCTCCAGCAGAGCCCCAAAAGGGGTACTTACGCAGAGCACGTGGAGAACGACCGCCCCCTGTCTTCGATCCTCGTTGGTGAAGATGTCATTGGGGAATTCGTGCAGGGCTGAAGAACGGAAAGAGAAAACCAGCTCAGAACAGAGGATAATATTTTCAGCTCTGGAAGACTGGGACAGTCGCGCCTGTCCTTGTTTTAATGCAGAATCCATGAACTTGGATGAGAAAAAATTACATATTTACATTCACATATCTCTACCTGGAATTTAGTGTTTCCTTCAGGTAAGAAAGTAGGCAATAAACCTCAGGAGTGTGAGAAGCACAAGAGACTCGGGCCCCAACAGATATGTTTTCATGATACGTTATACTATATGCCCACAGCAGCTCTTGCTCACCGCTGCAACATTGGGGGGCAGTTAGATCACCCCTTGTGATTTATAGTGTTCATGAGAGCAGAGGTCTGTAGGCTTCCCTGCATTACCAAGGGGGTCCATGGGACACACAGGGTTAAGATCCCTCCTTTCCCACCAGGACTGTCTTGGCTTGGGGCCTTGGGCCTGGTGCAACACCTTCCCTGGTCTTTCTTACCCTTTCTGAATTTGACCCACATTTGCCACCCTTGAAATGGACTATCAAGCACAGAGCTGCTCATGCCTGTCTCCCTGGTCAGGCCTTCCCTACTGGGCGATGAAAGCCCCAGTCTGTGCACCGGCAGTGCCAAGATGGTCCTGGCTGTTCCCTACTAGAGCTTTCTTCTCTTCTCCCGCCCTTTTATACTTTGCATGTGCTCATTCACTTAGTTACTAACTCCCGAGCAGCTACTGTGTGCCAGGCCATGCTCTCAGTGCTAGAAATTTGACAGTCCGCATTGTTGCGTGGGTGTCATATTCTTAACAGACAGGACCATTTGCTATTCCTTGAGCACACCTTGCATTTATTTGCTTTCTTTTTATGTCTTTATCTGCACTGATTATACCATCAGCCCGAGATATCCCCTTCTCCAAGTGATCTTCTCTCCCTGCCTTTCATAAAATCCCATCAGCTTCAAGGCCAGAGCCTTCATAAGGCCTCCTGTAGGACCCATGGCTCTCGTCTCTGGAAGATGCATCAGAGCAGGCTCTGTGGGAAGCTGTGCATGTTTCCCTGACCTTGGCCCCATCTTTAGCAAATTTGGCCAGCTGATGAAAGCAGACTTTCTCTTGGAGCTCCACAAGCTCTCCGTCCATCTCCAGCACACAAGTGGGACAACTATCACCAGTGGACAGGGAGGATGTACAAGATGACACCTGCTTGCCACGTGTCTTGTTTTGGGTTTCCCCCAAAGCAGATCTTCAGTCAAGGATTTGGGGATACATAGCTTATTTGGAGGTGACTGCTAGACACGCTATGAGCGAAGAAGGGGAGGAGACCAGGGAAGGGAGTCAAAGACAATAACATTGATGAGTGAGTGGGTGACCACACAGGACACCTGGGGTCCAGTCCCGCTGCAGATCCGGGGAGACAGTACAGAACATGCCTCTGGTTTGCAGCTTGTTGGCCAGGTGGTTGGCCCAAGATGCAAGTCTCTGTCTATTCCTTGAAAAAGTTCTGCTCTCTGCTTCCAGGGCATCACCAGATAAAGACACCGCATAACTCTTTCCAGAGCCACAGCGGTGGTGATATGGCCTGAGGCTACATCCAGCATGTGAAGCACAGATCACCTGTACATGTCACAGGTGTGATCACACATGCTAGTTTTGTCCTATTCTTCATGTGATGAAGTGGAGAAGACAAGGAAAGAGAGGGAGGTCATGATCTGCCCACACCCCTCCAAGTGGCTCTCCAAGCTGAAGCTATTCCAAACAGGCTGCACTGAGTCCTCCTGATCAATGGATGGGAAAAATGAGGGCAAGCCTGGAGGCTTTCACTTGGAAGACCAAATGACACGACAATCTGGAAATTACCAGAAGGGGACAAACATTCACAGAACAAGGTTGAAGTTTGTCCGTCAGGCCCTGGGCACTGCAAGGATTCCAGCCACTTTACTGAGGAGTCTCTGTTCTAGCGTATTCCCTCTATGGCCCTAATGTTTCTGGCTGGTGTGCTCTTGTCCAGTAAGCAGAGCTAGCGGAGGCCTTCCAGCCTCCCTGGTGAGAAACCCTTCGACTTCCTCCTCCCTGAAACTTCCCTGTTGCCCACAGTACCCACAGAGGCTGGATCTGGGGAGACTTGGTATTTGCAGCCCCCTAGTCAATTCCTGCCTCTCCTTCTTCCACACCTCCTGGCTCTCCTTGTGCACACAGGATGTCTTACACTCTTAGGAGATGCTTTCTCACACTTCCTCCTTTGAACTTCTCTTTGAATTTGCCTGAATAAATTTTAGTCCAAATAACCATCCCATGGCTCTCACCTTGCCCTCCCCTCCCGAAGTTGTTCAGTATGGATCAGGAACCAAGAGAAATGTCCTTTTCTGTCCACTTTCCAAACCCAGGATACTGATGTTCTCCATGGGTCACCCGCATGGTGGGGAGTGGAGCAAAGGTAAGGAGAGAAAAGGCCCTGCTGGGTGGGCTGGAAACCTTCCAGCCCTGGCTGGTCCCCATGTTCACCTGGACTTGCCCAGACCGTGCTGGAGGCTATGCCCTTGAATGAGGTGGGACCCACAGATCCAAGTGCTGGCTCAGGAAGGGCTGAGGCGCTGTCCGAAGTCCTGGCCAAGCAGGCCACTGGCAAACTTCCTCATGAAATTGAACCTGGCTGGTCAGTGGCTGATATAAGGGGTGGGTGTGATGGCGGGGGTGGGAAAAGCAGAGGAGAGGCAGTTAAGGATTCTCAGATCAGTCTGCTTCGAGAACAACAACAAAATTCTTATTTGGTGGTTCACAACAATGTGGAAAGAATGACCAGGTTCAGTATCCCCCAGCAAGCTACTGACATGGATCCCACTCTACTTATTCCTTATAGGTCCTTTGTGTAAACATGTATTGGGCTGGTGATGAAATTCTAACAATAATTTCAAAGAGCTAATGCACAATTTTCAAAGAAGAATACATATATTTTATTTCGCTCCTATAGAATCATCTTTTGGTGAAAGTTACAAGAAAAGATTTTTTAAACATGAGCTGGAGTCCCTCTCCTCTTGCCCTCCAGGTAGTAAGCCCTCCTTCAGAGGTCCCACATGTCTATGTTTGATGCTGGGTCCCTCAAGAGCAGACCTTGAGACAGAGATATGAATGCCAGCAGTTTATCTGGGAAGTGATATCTGGGAGGAGGGAGACAAATCAGAAAGGGGCTGAGACAGTAGGCTCAAATTTGCTGGGGCCCCTCTAAGAGATGGTGTAGAATATGCCTCAGTATTGTCCACAAATGCTCATCCATCACTGTTGAAGGCTGTCCTAAACACTTTAGGGCTAACCCTTAACACTCCTCATCTCTGCACTTGGCTAACTCGGTGTGTACGTGGGACCAGAGAAGGCCCCAGACAGAGTCACAGGTGCTTCAAGAAACCACCTGCATGTCTGTTGGCCATCTGAAAGATGGCCGCAATTCCTTTTCATTGCTCCCTCCTGTCTAATATCAGAGTATGGTTAGTGCACAGAGCTGGTGTCTAATAAGTGTCAGCAGGATGAAGAATGCTAAAGGAATCCCCAGTCCTGGACACTGACTGGGGATGGAATATGCCCATCTTGTCCACCTGGCCCAACTGGTCAAGAAGAGGGCTGCCAGCAGCAGCTGCTTGCCTCCTTGAGCCCGAGCTAGCTCCCTACCTGGCAGGTAGGCCCCAAATACACCTGAGAAATTGTGTTTTCAGAACAGCTACAGCTGTCCAAGATAACCTGTAAAGATACATTGTGGCATGCTGGACTAGGAGGTTCTTCCCAGTGCTTCTTGGCCTTAGTTTCCTCATCTACAAAACAAGGTAGGGCTGCTAGAGCCTCCTGCAGAACTAATGGTAGTAATGCCATCCCATGTGTCTTCCATTTTTGGTGTGCTTCTTCACACCCAAATCCAAAGAACCGGGGGCATTTCTTGGCCAAGGTGGGAGCTGGATGATTACCCATCTCTGGGAACTTGACACTGCCCTTGGGCTTTTGGTTAGATTTTGCATAAGGGCCCAACATGGAGCATCAGGCCTGGGTTTGGATCCCATCTATACCACTTATATAACGCATGGGTTATCTTATCCTCTCTCAGAGCCCTATTTCCTTCATCTGTAAAATGGGTGGGTGAATGTCAGCTTTGCGGGGTGGCTGGGGAGAGTGTAGGCAGAGTATGTAAAATGCCTCCCACCATCTTCCTAGGCCACTTATAGTGAGTCTTCATAATTATAACAATGATGGGATGCTGGTCCGGCCTGGGGACAAGGACACCTTCTTTTCTGGTCTTGGAGTTGAAATCCTCCTACTGCCAATTCCCACCTGCTTTGTGCTGGCATCTGTTTCTCCAGGATGGTATTTAGTCTGAGAGAGCTGTGTGAATGCATGTACCTCTAGATATATGCTTCCCCTGTTCAGGCTGCGTTGGAGCCAAATGGCCCACGTGGTGTGCTGGGAACAGCTACACATCCAATGGAGGGTTCCCCCAAATACCTTCAAAATCCTCAAGTCTCTTTCTGCTCCTCTCGTTCTCTCCCCCAATTTTCCTTTTAGTACATCTTGTCAGCTCAGGGGAGCCAGCAAAAGCAAGCAGTGCTGTTCCCATAGAAACCACAGAGCCCTGAACAGAGTGGATTCCCCTTACCAAGGCAACAGCAGTCAGCTGTCCTGCTTCTCCTGGCTGCTTTCCTGAGGCCGGAGTTTGATGAGTCCAAATGGAGGTTTGCAAGGGATAGAGAGTATTTTCTGTTTCATTTGGGGGAAAAAATTGTAGCAGGGACAGTCATGGCATCTATAGGCATACTGATCTCATGTTGATTACATGGAGCCTCCCAAGATGTAGTTCCAAAAATTTAGCTACCTTAACACGTTTGAACGAAAGGAATCTGACTGCTACAACCATCACAACACTGGCCTTTCATCCCAGGGGCCTTTTTATAACAAAATACCTTGCACATTTTATTGATTTGTCTCTTGGGAGTTGCCCAAGAATTTAGGGTTGACACTGCCCAACTTCTCCCATGCATGATGCATG